GGAGCCGAACGCTACAAGCCGCTCGAGAAAGTCTACAGCGACTTCCTGGTGCTCACGGCGAAAGGAGTTGGAGGGGAGCAGTACACACTTACCTTCATCGACGCCGGCACTCGCTTCGTGTGGGCCGTAAACGTCAGCAACCGCCATCTCGCCTACCAATGCTTCGAGGTATGGGTAAACATGGCAGAGACACAGAGCGACGGACAGAAGCTGAAGGCTTTTCAGATGGACGGAGCCCTAGAGTATCAGACGGAGGAATTCAAAACCCTCTGCAAGCAGAAGGGAATCAAGAGGATGATTTCCCTCCCCTACGCTCACAAACAGCAGGGATTGGCCGAGCAAACCAACCGGAGCCTCGCGACAAAAATGCGAGCCCTCATGAAGCAGTCAGCTGTGCCAACCAAATACTGGCCCTTCGCAATGGCACATGCAGTCCGGCTGCACAACATGCTCTCCTCGAAAGCACTGCCCAACAACAACTCACTCTTCAAGGAGTGGACCGGAAAGCACCCTGACACACGCATGCTGCGGGTCTTCGGGTGCATGGTACAGTAACGCCCCCACACTGCCCGGACTGGAAAATTTGAAGACCGCGCCCGCTGGGGCATCCACCTCGGAATCGAATCCGAATACCACGCCTGGACAATTTTGGACTTCGCCACCCACCAGCTCACGCGTTCACGTGACTGCATCTTCTACGAAAGGCTGACCCTGCCACTGTACCGCCAACACCGCACTGCACAGAACGCACCGGACAACATTTTTCAGGGACAGCACAGCTATGCCAATGACGAGGACGACGTTAACGTGGCAGGAGAACCGCCAGACAAGGCCACCGAGGATGAGGCACCCTTCGTCCCCGTTACGGGGCAGTTCGGCACACCTACATTTTCCCCAACTGCAATCGATCCACATGAAGAAGTACAGGCACAGCACGATTATGCAAGTGCAGAAATGCACTCACCCATGGACGAAAACCCGGCTCGACCGTTCGCCAGGCTCAGGGCGGGCCCGATGCTGAGAAGTGGAGAGTCGCCATGGCCGCAGAAGTCGCTGCACTTTAGCGCCGTGGCACCTGGAAGCTGGTACCACGACGACACGCAAAGGGGAGGAAATTTCTCACAGGAAAATGGGTTTTCAGGATCAAGACCCTCGCGGACGGGACTATCGACAAATACAAGGCGCGTTGGGTGGTCCGCGGATTCGAGCAGACACAGTTCGTGGACTACGACCAGAAATTCGCACCTATCGGCCGCCATACCTCTGTGCGGATTCTCCTCTGCATTTTTGTCGTGAAACAGCGCCCCCTCCGCAAGATCGACGTCTCCAACGTATTCCTCTACGCGATCGTCGACGCCATCATCTACGTCGAACAGCCGCACGCCTTCGAAGAAGACGGTGACGCCATCTGCCTCCTCCAAAAATCCCTGTACAGCATCAAGCAGGCGCCACGCCTGTGGCAGCAGTACCTTCACACCGTGCTCATCGAGCTCGGATTCCAGCAGCTCCCTCACGATCAGGGGATGTACCGCCTCGAATCCCGCGGCCACTTCATCCTGCTCGTCGCCTACGTGGATGATCTCCTCTACACCAGAGACGACGCGGAACTGCTCGATCGCTTCGAACGCGACATCCAGGAGAAGCTGGAAGTAACCATCGACCATGAGGTCACCCAATTCCTCGGCCTCAACGTCACCTAGACCGCTGACACGATCCACCTCTCCGCCGCGAAATACGCCGAAACACTCGCTAAGAAGTTCTGCATCGCTCCCGTCGGCATCACTACCCCATTCCGCACTCCTCCGCCAAACCACGAGCCCGACACTACCCCGCTCTCACTGGCCGATCACCGCCTCTACCAGCAGCAGCTCAGGTGTCTACTGTTCGCCGCCGTCACATGCCGCTCGGACTTATCCTACATCGCCAGCCAGCTCGGCCAGTACCTGCGCCGACCTGAAGGGGAGAACCTGGCAGACCTGCGCCGCGCCTTACAGTACTTCATCTCTACGCCCGACGTCGGCCTCATCTACACCGCGAACCTAACGGCTACTCTACAGCTTACTGGCTACGTGGACGCTGATCACGCTGGGGACGCAGATAACAGGAGGTCCCGCACAGGCTTCATTTTCAAACTTGAACCCACAGGAACCATCTCCTGGAACTCACAGAAGCAGGAACTTATCGCCCTCTCGTCAGCAGAAGCAGAATTCATCGTAGCAAGCGCAACAGTTCGCGAAGGGCTCTACCTCACGGAGCTCCTACAGGAAACGAAGACGGCGATGAACGGGTCATTCAAGTTACTCTGCGACAACCAAAGTGCGACCAAAATCGCAACAAGCCAGGCTTCGTCAACCGCACGAAACACATCGCCATGCGTTACTTCTTCGTCAAGGACGAAATCGACAAAGGGAAGGTCCAGTTCACCTACTGCCCGACTGGTGAGATGGCAGCTGATTTTCTGACGAAGAAACTGCCACGTCAGAAGTTCCAGCACTGCTCGGACCTGTGCAGAGTCGTCCGAAAGAGCCACGTGGGGCACCTCCAGGAATGAAGGGGAGTGTTGGAGTATGAAGGGAATTACACTTAGCATTCCCGTAGGTGCAGCAGTATCGCACCCGCCACTATCGAAGCAGCGCTAGCAGCAGTGTCGGATCAGCCTATATCAAGGGCAGGAAGGTCAACAATCGCAAGAGTCAACTGTCGCGACTGTTGACCATCTGGACTGACGATTGACTTACCATCGAGGAATGGCAACAGGCATAACCGTATGTACATGTTACATGCAGCGACTCGGTAACAAGAAAGTAGTGCAACAGTCAGACTCACTGTAGAAATGCATGTAAAGGAGTTAGAATAAGGGAATGTACCCCTCAGAGTACATGGCTAGCTAGGAACTATTTATTATGTGTGTAATATTTGTTTTAATAAACTTGGTCATCCACATATTATGATCTGAGTTCCTAAAAAAAGACTTCCGCTACCAAGACTCTTCTAAGGCATTCCTATCCTATCCAAGGTCCTCACTCTAACACCCTTGAAATATATGGACTTCTTCGTGGAGTTATAATGGTTACAATGCAGGTGAAATTGACATTAATTGATAAGAAACCTTCACGAAGGGGGCTCTCAGGCTACCAGCCAGCGGCCATGGCGGCGAGCTCGAGATGGTCATTGTCACGGAAGAAGAGGTTGGTGTCGATCGCGTTAGAGTGGATAATTTTATATTGCTTGCAATATGCAAGTTCATCTTCTCTTATCAAAGCATTTTTATTTACCGAGTGATCCAGGGAGTTGCACCTGATGGTGATTATGGCTCATTGAACTTTCCGCCTGCCAGCTCAACTTACCGCTCCCATCACGTGCCACGCGTTCGGCCACCGTGGCAACAGCGTGTTCGTTCGACGCTCCGTCGACGCCATCCCTTTCGTCTTGTAGCGAGATCGACATGTTTCCGCGCCGCCAACCACTCTCTCTGCACTGCCATCGCCCTCACATTCAGCTCGCGCCATGTCAGGGTCTGTTACACCAGCGCACCAGATGTTACCGTTTTGGATCGAATCTTAACAGTCTTAACCGTACATAGGAACACTCACCCTAATTTCCCTCGAGCTTGGTTACTGTAGAAGCAGGAGGTTTCAAAGAGTGCGCCGAAACGGGATGTCCCGAGCAGATCCGTTTTCCCTCACGCAACTCGCGAATCCCCTTGTTTCACACCTCGCGGTTCCACTTCCGCCCACGGCGCACGTCATGACTTCCGCCACCACGCTTTCCGCCAGCATTTCCCGCCGATTCTCTGCGCGGGTTACCTGCTCCGCCTCCCCCTTCCCCCTCTCCCCTTTCCCCGACTCCTTCGACCCTCGCCGCGACAGCAGTCTCGGCGACGGCGCTGGGGAGAGGGGGACAAGGGGACGACAGGGACAGTCGCGGCAACAGCGGCAGCAGCAACGGCAGCAGCAGCGGCAGCAGGAGCGGCAGCAGCGAAAGCAGGCGGAGTGGCAGGAAAGATCCGAGAAGGCGCGCGGGAGGACGGTTCCGCTGAGTCGCCGCCCGGATTACAGCGACGAGCTGCGCGCCCTGCAGCTCGGAGAGCCAGATCCGCCACGCGCCAGCCGCGCAGATCCGCCAGGCGCGCGGAACCCCCCCGCGTCGGAAGGTCGCGGGGAAGCAGATGGCGCGCGGAGGGGGCCTGGGGAGAGGAGCAGCGGGGATAGTGGTAGAAGGGGTAGTGCGAGGGGAAGGGGCGAGAGTGGGGGGAACGAGCAGAGCGCATTCCGCGGGAGCGCAGATGAGCTTCCCTCGTTGTCGTCCGTTATGGCGGCCGCCGCCAATATGCCCGCGCAGCGCCCGCGCCAGCGCCAGCGCGCACCTCTGCCCTCCCCGGTACAGGCGGAGGTGTGGGCGCAGCAGCGCGCGCTGGAGCGCGTGGCGGAGGAGGTGGAGGCGGAGATTGCGCGCGCGCTGGCGGAGCGGCGCACGGACGACGCCGTGAGGCTGCTGTGGCGGGAGCGGCAGGCGGGGCGGTGGGCGGGTAGCCGCTGCTGGAGCCGCGCGGTGGCGCAACTTAGCCTCCGCGGGCAGTGGCGCAAGGCGAAGCGGCTGATCGACGAGGTGTCCCGCGCGCAGACGGGCGGACAGACGGGCAGAGATGGGCAGGCGGAGAGAGGGGGGGCGTGGGAGCAGCAGTGGTCGAGTGCGGTGGGGAGTGGTGCTGGAGGAAGTGGAGAGGTGTTCAGAGAGGTGCAGGTGGATGAAGACGCCTTCGGGCTCGCTGTGATGGCAGCGGCGCGCAGTGGCTGTGCGGCTGACGCAGGTGAGCACCCGTATGTGGTTACAGCGTTATGATTCCCGGTTACATGGTATCAGCGTTCTGCGGCTGACGCAGGTGAGCACCTGCCTGGTGGCGTCCCTCTTCCACTTGGTTCTGTGCATGCTGTGCGGCAAGCTCGCTTCCTCCCTCATCACCGTGAATCCTTTCCACGGTGGAGCACCGTGGTGTTCAGTCGCCATGCCATGTTCCCGCCTCTTCCCCCTCAACCTCCCCTCCTCTTCCCCATTACTTCCCCTCCCCATCCGTCCGCCCATCAGCGGAGCTCCTGGCGCAGATGCTGCGCGAGGGGCACCTTCCGCGCGTGGCGGTGTGGAGCGCCGTGGTGAGCCGCATGGGGCGCGACCCCGCGCTCGCTGCCGCCGCCGTGAGGCTCTTCAGGGACTGTTGCGATGTCGCTGCTGCCAAGGTGCGTTGCTCCCTGGCAAACTTCCCTCACCCGATCCCCACACATTCTCTCACCCATTCCCCACACATGCCCACACCCATTCCTTGCACGCACTCGCGCCCCCTCCCCCCACCCTTCTCCCTCCCTCCCCATTTCCCCCTATTCCCCCTATTCCCCCTTCTACACTCCCCCCATGCGCCTCCTATCCCCCCACTTCCCCCCCAGAGCGCCTCCCACATGCGTCCGGACACAGCAGCCTTCAACGCGGCGATCAACGCGGCGGTGACAGCTGGCGACCTCCCATTGGCGGAGCGGCTGCTGGGGGAGGGCATGGCGGGGGCGGGCGTGTCCCCCGACGCCATCAGCTTCAACATTCTGATCAAGGGACGCGCGGCACAGGGCATGCCCGAGAGGGCGCACGAACTGCTGAGACACATGCTGGTGAGTGTGGATTGGCATGGAGTGCGCAGGGGAGGGTGTGCAAGGGGGGGGGCATTGGGTAGGGGAGGGAGTGACCTCTGGTACCTGCAGCTTCAACATCCTCATCAAGGGGCGCGCAGCACAGACAGGCATGCCTGAACGCGCGCATAAGCTTCTGAGACGCATGGTGGTGAGTGGCGTCAGAACAGCATAGCAGCACGGGTTGAGGCATCGCCATCAAGGGGAGGGAGTGACCCCCGACGCCATCAGCTTCAATATCAACTCAGTTGTGGGGGGGTACGTGCCATGCCGTGCACATAGGAGCAACCGACCAACCCTCTCAATTCTTACTCCTCCCCTTCCCCCACCTGCCATCCACCTTCTTCCAGTCGCAGGGCGTGCAGCCACATGCAGTGTCGTTCAACTCAGTGGTGGCTTGGTATGTGGCGTGCGGCGTGTGAACTGACGGGGCTCATCGTCCCATAGGAGCTAATCCCGACCGACCTAATCCCATCGGCATAGGGATTAGGTTGGCATCGTCCTAGCGACCTAGTCCCTTCTAACTCCTTCCCCCCCTCCTTCCCCACCCCACATCCACCTCTCTGCAGTCTCAGGGCATGCAGCGTGACACAGTGGCGGCAGGGTATGTCATGTGCAGCATGATGGGGTGGGATTGGCTTGGCTCGTCTCGTCCAATATGAGCAACCATCTCCTCCCTTCTAACTCCTCCCCTTCCCCCCTCCTACTCCCACTTCTGATTCCTCCTCTCCCTTTCTCCCCCCCTCCCACTCCTGTCTTCCAGGCGCAGGGCGTGCAGCCAGACGCAGCATCGTTCAACTCGGTGGTGGGGGGGTACGTCGCATGCGGCATGATCGGGCGCACCACCGCACAGCACCACCTCATACCCTGTCTGAACCCTCTCTCTTCCTCTCCCCCTCTCCCTCACTCCCCAGTCGCAGGGCGTGCAGCCAGACGCAGCGTCGTTCAACTCAGTGGTGGCGGGGTACGTGGCGTGTGGCATGTTGGGGGAGGCGCAGGCGCTGGTACAGACCATGTGGGACCTGGAGGAGGCGCAGGGGGCAGGGCAGGGGCAGGAGGGGCAAGAAGGGGAAAGGGAAGGGGAAGTGGAAGGGGAGGAGAAGGGCGCGGTGCAGGGAGAGGCGGGTGGGAAGCATCGGGTGGGGGTGGGGCCCAACGTGCGCATGCTCTCCATCCTCATCAAGGGGCTCGTCGCCTCTGGAGACCTCGCAGCAGCCTTTGAGGTGCGCCCTCTTCCTCCCCACAAATCCATACCATACCGCCCTCTCCCACTCGCTGAGTCTTGTATGTGACGTATCGTCTGTGATGGATTGTTTGCTTGTGCTATATCATATAGATCATTTGTGTATGATAGACTATGTTCACTCGACTGTTGTATTCTGTTCGCATGGGCCAACCATGATCACATCATTCTTGCCAGATCCGGTTTCCTTGACTTCCTAGTCCTCCCCCCCACTTCCACCTATCCCTCACCTCCCACAACATGAATGGGCAGTGGTTTGAGCGCATGAAGCAGCGGGCTGACACGGCGCCCAACCACATCACATACGCCACGCTCATGCACGCCCTCGTCTCCTCGCCACCCCACCTCATCCCCGCTCCCATCCTCGCCCGCGCTGCCGCTGCCTCTGCTGCCTCTGCTGCCGCCACCCCTGCCACTGGAGCCACTGCAGTTAGCTCTGCAACGCAGCAAGCTGCCCTCACTGCCCGCAGCAGCAAGCCCCCAGCACCTCCCCTTGCCTCCGCCACCACACCCGCCACCTCTCCCGCTATCGCAACTGCTGCTGCTGTTTCTGCGGGGCGTGCTGAGTCGCGGGGAGCCGTGGCATCTCTGAGGAAGCCGAGCATGTGGACGGCCGACAGGCCGAGCAACGCAGGTGCAGGCAGAGAAAGTCGTAGCGGCGCTGGGAGTCTTAATGGCGCAGGCAGGCGAGAGGCGCTAGAACAGCAGGGGCTGGAGAGTGGCCGTGCTGGTGTGCTGGCTGGTAGCAGCAGCAGGGGTGAGTTAGACCGTCCAGGTGTGATGGATGAGAGGCAGAACGACCACAGCAGCAGCACCAGCGGCAGCAGCACCAGCCCCAGCAACAGCAGCAGCACCACCACCAACGGCAGCAGCAGCAGCAGACGCAGTATGGTGGTTCCGGCAGGGTACACTGATGTAGCCATGAGGGGAACCGGTGAGGGCCTGGAAGCTGCAGGGAACATAGATGAGTTAGCAGTGGTGGCAGCGCGGCAGCTGCTAGAGGAGATGAGAGCGCGGGGCGTGGCGGGCAACACTGCCGTGCTGAACGTGCTGGTCAAGGCCCACTGTGACCGTGGCCAGATGGGGGCGGTAGAGGCATTGTTGAGGGAGATGGGGTGTGGCGGAGGTACAGGTGGTAGGAAGCAGCGGCTGCTGCAAGGCACGCCGTCCCCTGCTGCACCCGCTGCTGGGGAGGCTGCTGACGCCTCTCAGGGTGCTTCTGAGGGTGCGATCCCCCGTGGAGCGGCCGTGTGGGGCGTGCGGCCGAACGCAGCGACGTTTGCGACCATCATTGCGGCGTGTGGCAGGGCGGGCGCGTGGAAAGGGCGGGGACAGGCGAGGTGGAGTTCTCGCAGTGATGCTGTTAGTGGCGCTGCTGCTGCCGCTGCTGGGGCTGGCGTGCTGCCTCAGGGTGCTGCTGGCTCTTATGAGAGAACCGCGGGCAGCAGTGGGGCGATGAGCATTGGTGCAGGTGATGGCAGCAGCAGCCTCACCAGCGGAACCGGCATGTCAGCACAGAGCAACAGTGGCAGCAGCAACAGCTTCAGCTTCAGCAGCAGTAGCAGGGTGGAGACAGGGGGAGGTAGAGGGGAGGCTGAGCGGAGCAGAGGGGAGATGCAGTGGGGAAGGGGAGAGAGTGAGTGGGGCGGGGCAGAGGCAGCAGTGCAGTGGTTTGCGCGCATGCGGCGGGAAGGCATAGCACCAACGGTGCAGGTGTACACGGCGCTCATCTCCGCCCTTGGCCAGGCCCCTGATGCTGACCCTGCCCGCGCCCTCTCCGTGTTTGAAGACATGCTTGTGGAGGCTGGGAGCAGTGGAGTGCGGTTGGGAGGGAGAGAGAGCGGTGGTGGGAGTCGGGGAGGGAGAGGCGGCACGGTGGTGAGCGGTGGAGAGGAGTTGCGGGTGGATGCGGCGGCGTGGGGTGCGGTGATTGACTCACAGGCGAGGGCAGGGCTGGTGGACCAAGCGTGGAGTCTGTACCAGCGAGCCAAGGTGGGCATACCTACTCTCTGTATCAGCTTTGAACAGTCTTTTAGCGCTACGAGCCTAACCGTACGAGGGGGTCCAGGGTGGGCATACCTACGCCTCCCTCACTGACGTGCTTCGCTTTCTCTTGCACGCATCCCCCCTGTTGCCCCTGCAGTCACCTCCGTTCCGTGTCACCTTCATTCTCCGCTCACCACCTCGCTCTCACCTTGCTCTCACCTCGCTCTCACCTCGCTCTCACCTCGCTCTCACCTCGCTCTCACCTCGCTCTCACCTCGCTCTCACCTTGCTCTCACCTCGCTCTCACCTCGTTCTCACCTCGCTCTCACCTTGCTCTCACCTCGCTCTCACCTCGCTCTCACCTTGCTCTCACCTTGCTCTCACCTCGCTCTCACCTCGCTCTCACCTCGCTCTCACCTCGCTCTCACCTTGCTCTCACCTTGCTCTCACCTCGCTCTCACCTCGCTCTCACCTTGCTCTCACCTCGCTCTCATCTTGCTCTCACCTCGCTCTCACCTCGCTCTCACCTTGCTCTCACCTCGCTCTCACCTCGCTCTCACCTCGCTCTCACCTTGCTCTCACCTCGCTCTTACCTCGCTCTCACCTTGCTCTCACCTTGCTCTCACCTCGCTCTCACCTCGCTCTCACCTCGCTCTCACCTCGCTCTCACCTTGCTCTCACCTTGCTCTCACCTCGCTCTCACCTCGCTCTCACCTTGCTCTCACCTCGCTCTCACCTCGCTCTCACCTCGCTCTCACCTCGCTCTCACTGATGACGAATCTCCATCCTCCCACCACACTCCTCGCATGCGAGGGACCATCCTCCCACCACACTCCTCGCATGCGAGGGACCAACAACTGCTCGTGCTCTCTTCTTGCTGCATTCCAAGGCCCACTCACGCCACCGCTCATGATGCTCCCTCCTCTTCTTGCTGCTGCCTCGCTTCTGGCCGCACCACTTGGTGGTCCCTCTGCTGCCAGAGTCCAGTCTAGCACTGGCAGATGCGGAGGCACGCATCGGTACACGATTTTACAACTCATGCACAGTCATGGCTTTGAGGCACCTCAAGGGGCGCGCATGACTGACAGCTCAAACACATGACTCACAGATCAAACGCATGACTGACAAATCAAACGCATGACTGACAGCTCAAACACATGACTCACAGATCAAACGCATGACTGACAGCTCAAACACATGACTCACAGATCAAACGCATGACTGACAGCTCAAACGCATGACTGACAGATAAAACGCATGACTGACAGCTCAAACGCATGACTGACAGATCAAACGCATGACTGACAGCTCAAACGCATGACTCGCGAATGGCCTTTGCCTTTTCGCTCTCTTCCGCAACTGCCTTTCTTCCACATGCAAGCCGCTTCAGTCGTCCCCGCGCCAGCCAATAACGACACTCAAATGCGCGCATTGGCAACTGCAGAGGGGGGAGGCACTGGTGTTGGTGACTTCAGTCGTCCCCTCACTTTCACATGTTTGAACCTTTCTCTTTCACCTCCTTCCTCACTTTCACCTCTCTTTTCCCACCTGCAGGCGGCTTCAGTCTTCCCCACGCCAACCACCTATGGCAGCTTAGGCCGCACACTGGCAACAGCGGAGAGGGCAGGGGAGGCGCTGGTGTTGTGGTGCGACTCAAAAGGATCGACTGGTGAAGCAACCTTCCTCTCTCTCTCCCACACCTCTCTCTTCCTTCTCGCCTGCAGGCAGCCTCGATTGCCCCTACCCCAGCCACATACGGCAGTCTGGTGCGAGCGCTGGCAGCAGCAGAGAGGGCCGGGGAGGCGCTGGTGCTGTGGCGCGACTTGAAGGAGCGTCTGGTGGGGGCGCAGGGTAGTGATTGGGAGGAGGGGTTGGGGGGAATTGCGGGCGGGGAAGAAAGGTGGGAACTAATGGGAGAGGCGAGGGAGGGGCGGTGGGAGGAGCGAGGTGAGACGGGAGGGAGCGGGGGTGAGGGAGGGAGTGAGGAGGAGGGAGGGACGGAGGAGAGTGAGGGTGAGGAGGGGGGAGTGGTGGAGGTGGTAGGGGTACGCGGGGAGAGGGAGTGGGTGAGGAACAGGTGGGAGCAGAGAAGGGAGGGAGAGGGAGCGAGAGGGAGAGGGGTGGGTGTGGCAGAAGAAAGAGTGACGTGGAGGGCAGGAGTGGCAGGAGGAGAGGCAAAGGGGGCAGCAGGGGTGTCTGTGGACGAGGCAGTGATGGATGGGCTCATGCTCATCTTCATGCAGGCTGGCTACTTCCAGGTGAGCTGCTTTCCCCAGGCCTGTCTCTCAGGGTGCATTCCTGAGCTCGTGTCATCCGGTGTTGGTGTCATCCGAAAACTTAGGAACGCACGTGATTGGCCCGTTGTGATTTTTGGGCCAATCGCATGAGTTCCAAAGTTTTCGGATGACACCAACATTGGATGACACGAGCTCAGGAATGCACCCTCGCACTCTATACCTTTCTCCCTCATACCTCTGCTTGTCACTCACCTCTCTCCATCACTCACCTCTCTCTCACCCCTCTTCTCTGAACCTCTCCTTCCCCTCTCCCCCCTCCCTCTCCACTCCCCCCCCTCCCCTCCCACTCTCCCCACTCTTCCCCTCCCACCCCTTCTCCCTCTCACAGCGTGCACTGGAGGTGGTGGGGGCGACGAAGAGGGCAGGGTTGGCACCAGACAGACTCAAGTAAAAGCGCATGCTCATCACCTCCCTCTCCATTCTCTCCCAATCGCCCGTTCTTTCCCTGCTCTCCCTCTCACAGCGTGCACTGGAGGTCGTTGGGGCGATGGAGCGAGCAGGGTTGGCACCCGATAAGCTCAAATACAAGCGCATGCTCATCACGTCCCTCTCCTCGCGCCGCCACCGCGCCCTCTCCTCCCTCTCCACCACCACCGCTGCTCCCGATGAGTTTCCGGGGTCACGGGGCTTTGAAGCGCTCAAATTCTGGCTAGGGCTGCCCAACCGCCTGTACGAATCTGACTGGAGCTGGCGGGACTGAAGTGATGTGATGTCACTTCCCTCTCGTGACACCACTGCCCTCTCTCCTTTCTCCACCACAACCACTGCTGCCGATGAGTTCCCGGGATCACGAAGCTTTGAGGCGCTCAAATTCTGGCCTAACCGCCTGTACGAGTCTGTCTGGAGTTGGTGGGATTGACTCAAGTGGTTGAAACATGAAATACCGTATGGCCCCGGATATAGGCGCCGGCCTATTACAGGCGCCGGCGCTTCTATCTGGAGCATGGCGCTTATGGCCGTTCCTCGATTATAAACGCCCCCCCTAGAAAACCTTTACTTATTATAAGCGCACGTGCAATTTTAATGTTAATTCTTTCTTAAAACAGTAACGAAATTCATTCTTGCAGCGAGTCATATTTCAATTTCGCTTCGTTTGACTCGCGAAGACCTGACTGGCTTCGCGTCCAGTCAGGATGTGCTGGCATGACGTGTCTTTGCCTGTGTGTGCACCCAGAATATCGCTTGCGCGAGAATATGCTTTGTGTCGCTAAAACATTTCGATGCGGTTGAAATGGCAAGAAAAGAACAATCAATTTGGTGCTCTAAATATATTATTTCGTATTTGTCATTATATAAGCGCCGGCGCTTATGGCCGTTCCTCAATTACAAGCGCCCCCCCTCAAAAAAATGAATTTATTATAAGCGCATATGCGCCTATATCCGGGGCCATACGGTAGGCTTTAATTATGCCCCACGCATGCAATGCCAACCTTGGTTCTTGCTGGGGCTGCCCAATTGCCTGTTTTGAGTCTGATACGGGCTTGCACAACTGAAGTCTTGGGAGATGTTTATGGCACGCTATATTATGATTCAGCAATATTGGGCCAACAATGTTGGACACAGCACAATGTTATTGTATTGCTATGCTGAGAATTATTGTCTGCCTAAACAAGGGGGTAGGTAATACCAGGTCGTAGTACGGTATGAATGACACCCTGTTGTTGACGCATGCGTTGAGTAAATAATATGTGCATAGATTACAAGGGGACATAGGTGATGAATGTTGTCAACGGGTGTTCTGCACATCTCAAGTGCTCAATGTTGTTAGCTGCTGCTATGTCACATGCGCACTTCACGGGCCTGCCGCGTCAACCGCTTTCCCAAATTCCCAGAGCCCAACTCTCAACATGGGAAGCGGCCAACGAGCTTCAACGATGGCGCAGGTTTTGTTGAGCCCTGTGGTGTGACCAAGCAGCACGGCGCAACAGTCGGAAGCGCATTTGCGAGTCATTTCGGGGGCGCAGATTGAACTTGTAACCCTACGTGAAACAAGCATTGCCCAATCTCCCTGTCGCGAAACGCGCCTGAGCTAGATGCGGAAGTCGCCGACTCGACCTGGCGGGAAACACAACATCCCGCCAAAACCAGTCGCATGATCGCATCCTCTCCCCCACCCCCACCAAGCCACAAATGCTTTCGAGCCGCGTTTGCACCACATTATAAAAAAACCCACGCGTCATCACATCAGCATCCTCACCAATTTTGGCACATCTCGCTCGCAATTCAGCCCTTCCGTCACTCCAGCATTTCTCAGTCTTCAGCCTGTCACTTGAAGTGACAGTTGTCACTTCCGCTGTATTTTAGCTCGTCCCTGTCCAACGAGTGACAGGAAGCGGAGAGCTTTATTCCTGCACAATGGGCTGCAAAATGCGAGGCATGGCCGTGCCTCTCCTTCTTCTCGCACTTTTCGCGGCGTCGGTGTTTGTAGCGCCGGGTGAGTGTCCCACTTCGTTGCGATACATTTCCGCCATCACCCTCCACCCTGTCACCGTCCGTCGCCCTCTTCTTAAGAATTGCATTTCTTTTCCAACGCTGTCCTCCTAGTAACTATCTCCCTTGTCGTGCATTCTCGATTAGCCTCCTTCCCGCCCCACTCTCTGCTGGCTCCATAATCGACGGATCCGGTATTAATGAAGGCGTTTTTCTATCGCTCTGCAGGATCGGCGAGGTTCCTCGCTCCGCGCCGCAGCCTTGCTCTCAAACCTCTCTCGCTCCTAAAGGCGGATCCAAGCAAGCAATTTTTGCTGGCTGTTGATAATTTTGGCGGCGGCAATGGCGGCGATTTGGGCGGCGGAAGTGGCGGAGACCTGGGCGGCGGAAGTGGCGGAGACTTGGGCGGCGGAAGTGGCGGAGACTTGGGCGGCGGAAGTGGCGGAGACTTGGGCGGCGGAAGTGGCGGAGACTTGGGCGGAGGAAGTGGCGGAGACTTGGGCGGCGGAAGTGGCGGAGACTTGGGCGGCGGAAGTGGCGGAGACTTGGGCGGCGGAAGTGGCGGAGACTTGGGCGGCGGAAATGGCGGAGACTTGGGCGGCGGAGATACGGGCAGCGGGAATAGCGGACAGCAGGGCGGACCTGGCGGGCAGCAGGGCGGACCTGGCGGACAGCAGGGTGGACCGGGCGGGCAGCAGGGCGGACCTGACGGACAGCAGGGCGGACCCGGCGGACAGCAGGGCGGACCCGGCGGACAGCAGGGCGGACCCGGCGGACAGCAGGGCGGACCCGGCGGACAGCAGGGCGGACCCGGCGGACAGCAGGGCGGACCCGGCGGACAGCAGGGCGGACCCGGCGGACAGCAGGGCGGACCCGGCGGACAGCAGGGCGGGCCCGGCGGACAGCAGGGCGGATCGGGCGGGCAGCAGGGCGGACCCGGCGGACAGCAGGGCGGACCTGGCTGGGAGCAGGGCGGGGATCAGGGCGGACCCGGCGGACAGCAGGGCGGACAGCAAGGCGGACCTGGCGGGCAGCAGGGCGGACCCGGCGGACAGCAGGGGGGACCTGGCGGACAGCAGGGCGGGCAGCAAGGCGGACAGCAGGGTGGACAGCAGGGCGGACCTGGCGGACAGCAGGGCGGACAGCAGGGGGGACAGCAGGGGGGACAGCAGGGGGGACCTGGCGGCGAGCAGGGGGGACAACAGGGCGGACAACAGGGCGGACAGCAGGGCGGACAGCAGGGCGGACAGCAGGGCGGACAACCGGGGGGACAGCAGGGCGGACCTGGCGGACAGCAAGGCGGACAGCTGGGCGGACCTGGCGGACAGCAAGGCGGACAGCAGGGTGGACTGCAGGGCGGACAGCAGGGGGGATCTGGCGGAGAGCAGGGAGGATCTGGGAGTTCTAACTTCGCTACTACTCAGAATGTGAAGGGTGCGAAGGGAGGAAAGGGAGGGAAGGGCGGCAAGGGTGGAAAGGGGGGAAAGGGTGGCAAGGGAGGAAAGAAGTGAAAGAGCTGGTAGTGCCCGTTTTTAGCTTCTGTTGGATGCCCACCCTGTTCCATAGACAAGCTTTGTTGTATACCCTAGGAGGTCGACACTCCCATGTTGTAAAGTTGTTTATTACATCTCTTGACGTCTAGCAACTCCGTTTTGGCTGGCCTGAACTGGTTGTACACTCAACAAGGCTGTCTCAGAGAGTGTGATATGGAGTGGCAAATCTGTTGCTGAAGCTCATCATCACATCATCACGAACCTAGAGCATGTCGGGGTGCTGAAACAAGCGAACTGAAGGCTTCTGCCGTCCTTGGGAGTGTAAAGCGCGGCACGGGAGTGAGGAAGGTGGGAACACTGGTAGGTTCAGGAGGGTGAGAGTGAATACCACGGAGCCTACAGGCTGTGCGAACAAGGTTCGAATGAATCGCTCAGTAGGCGATGCCAGCCGTAGCCTCGAGATAAGCGTCATCATCAACCATCCCATGCTTGCCCCATTGCAGAGGAATCTGTGGGAGCTATTTTAAATCTCCTCCACGTTCAAAGATGCACCAAAGATGCAGCTACAACCTACAATGCAATCATCATCACTCTCCAAAAAAATGACTTCGTATCCAACAAATACCAGTACACAAACTAGTACCGTACATCCATCAACATACCCCATCACACTCAATAATCAGGGCGATCTTCATGCCATTGCGGCAGTCATTGCCAACGCTGCTGGCAAAGTACCCCGTGTATTTATTATTGCTTGACTTGGCCGAGAGCTACACAGTGCCCTGCTTCGCCGCCTTAGCTAGCACGGAGAAGGACGCGCCGTTGTTCCCGAAGTAGCACGAGGTGTAGCGCGTGGAGCCAATGGCCACCACGTTGTGCTTGTGCATCCAATCATTCCACTTGAACACTGCCGTTGAACACAGGTTTGGGGGCAAAGAAGCGAGTGGCGTTAGAGTGAGAGTGGGGAGGGCAAGAGAGCAAGAGAGTTCGACGATTAGAGTGGGGAGGGCGAGAGAATGAGTGAGGGTGGCGTGGGGAGAGTGAGAGTGAGAGCGAGGGTGGAGTTGGGAGAGACTGAGAGTGACGATGGAATGGGAAGGGCAAGAGAGTGTGTGAGGGGAAAATGAGAGAGAGGGTGTGTGGCGAGGGCAGAGCAAGTGCATATGAGAGCGATATATGCAATGCATATAGTGTATGGGAGAGCGAGATCAAGATTGCCTGTGGGGGTGAGCGAGATACAGTGCGTGTGCGGTGAGAAAGGGCATTAGAAAGAGTGTGCGCGTGGAGAGAGCGAAAGAGAGAGAGAGAGAGTAAGTTCCAGGTTCAGCGAGGGGCAGCAGGAGCTGACCAACAGTGTCGCCCTCACGGATACTGGGGGGGAGAGCGATAGATGAGTGTGTGTGAGGGGAGGCGAGAGAGACTAACCAACAGTGTCGCCCTCGTGGATACGGGGGGCCGGCCACGACTTCACCCTCGGATTCCACCGCGTGTACCTCCACCCCACCAGCACTGTCTTGGCGTCCTGCCGCACGGAGGGGAAGGAGAGGGAGGGGGGTGAGAGCGGATGGGGACTTGACTTTTGAGTCAACTCAGAAGTCCACGCGTGTACCTCCACCCCACCAACACCAATGCTGCACGGAGGGGGGTTGGGGGGGGGGGGGGGGGGGGGAGGGGGAGGGGAGGGAATGGGGAGGAGAGTGAAAAGGGCACATGATTGCCGAGAAGCTGCAGAAGGGAGCTCGCCCGCCCGATCAGCGCGGGTGGCGCATTGGGATCAGCGCGCGTGGCGCATCGGGATCAGCGCGGGTGGCGCATCGGGATCAGCGCGGGTGGCGCATTGGGATCAGCGCGGGCGGCGCATTGGGATCAGCGCGCGGCGCGGCATTGGGATCAGCGCGGGTGGCGCGGCATTGGTTTTAACACAGGTGGTGCATTGCTTGGCAGAGGAGTAGGAGGGTTGGAGTTGAAAGGGCCGTGGCGAGAGATGGAGCTTACAGCAAGAGCGTGTTAGGGTTGGTTCGCCCAACCACGGAACCTACGGCGAAAGTCTCTACGACGGCGGAATGACGGCGAAATGGAAGCGCGTGGATGATTCTAGGTGAAACGGTGGAAATCAGCCTACGGCGTGAGAAGCGGGAGAGAAATCGAGAAGGAACCAAAGAAATGGAGGAAGAGAGAAGGAGAAGCATCGAGGATGAGATCGACGGGGGAAATTGTGGTCTGAGACCAAGGCGCGTTCGAGAAGGTTCCAGATTCGGTCTTGAGGAGTGTTCACCGAATTCGGTTCGGTTCCGTGTGCGACTCGGGGTGAAACGAGGCGCACGCGGTTACTTGGGAAACAAGTGAAGTTACGAATCGCATTTTGTGACTTGCTTGACTATAAAACTGCTTGTACTCATTCTGGAAAACATAACTTGGAGATTCTGAAAATTGCTGAAGTGTGTATTGACAACTTCAAGCAGAGCTGCGCATATCGCTGGATTTGGGAGATCGTGGAGAACACGATAAGCAATAGCAAGTAGACTATTGCCGACTAAGGTGTTTACGATCCTAAGAACTGGTATCAGAGCTTGGCGAACGGGCGCGTCGATCGCGGTGAATTCACTTGGTGCGCTAAGTGAAATTAGTGGAGAAGAGGAGTCGTTCACGCCTACGCCATGGGAGACGAGGCGAGTTCGGGTTCCAGTGTGAGTCTTGGAGACCCGCAGTTGAAGGCTCTTCTCGAGGCCCTTGCGAGTGGCCGATTGGTGGCGAAACCGACGATCGGGCTCAGTGAAGCCCAGCGCTTCAACGGGAGCAACTACAACGTGTGGCGGAAGAAGTTCATTCGAAGGGCAGAGGAGGTGGACCTCTTGCCGTACTACCGTCCCGACGAGGAGACGATGGAGGGAGTTGCGCCATCCACGACGGATACGAAGGAGAAAATAGCGGCGTTCAAAAAACAAAGTAAGCAAGCGTTCTTTCAGCTTTGTCACTCAGTTGCCGATGGAATCGCGGTGGATTTGGACCAGTTTGCAGGGGAGCTGAACTCTGCACAGAAAGCATGGGAGTACCTGGAGTCCACGTACATGGGCACCAACGATGTCAACAAGAAGGCGATCAGGAAGCAACTGCTGATGCTGAGCATGGAGAAAGGCGAGAAAATCATCACCTACATCAACAGGGCGAAAAGCTACAACGACGATTTGCGGGTGATGGGAGCCGCGGAGACGGAGCATGAGATGATTGACTATATCATCCAAGGCCTTCCTAAGGAGTGGGAATCCGACATCGGTATGTTTACGTACCAACCGCCGGAGAGTTTGACGAAGCTGCAGGAGATTCTACAGTCGCTTGAGACGATGAAGGAGATGAGGAAAAAGAAAGCGGCAGCAGCAGCTACGGATTTCGACGAGGAAAGGCCGGCTTTGGTGAATGCAACGAAGGCGTTTGGAGCATGCTACCAGTGTGGAAAGCGCGAGCATAAGGCGATAAATTGCTACGAGAACCCGCGAAGCAGAAACTATAAGGGCAAAGCGATGGAGAACGAGAAAGGAGAAAATGCAGGAGCGGAGTGGCAGCAGAAACGAGGTTTTGGCGGCAAGTGCGACTATTGTGGGCGCTACGGGCATCGTGCCGCAGAGTGCTACTCCAATCCAAACAGCAGGAGCTACAAGGGTCCGTCGCAGCAGAGAAATGTGGCGGCTAAGGCGAATGTAGCGGAAGCGAACGAGGATGATGTGATCCTTGGAGGAACGCATCTTGCGAACGTGGTGCGTTTACCAAAGGAGGTTCGGCAGACGGACGATCATGAGAAGACGGCATGGTTCATGGACAGCGGATGCACGCGTCACATGACATTCAGGTCAGATTGGATGGAGAACGTGAGGGAGTCGAGTGAGCGTTATATACTGCAAGGTAACAGTGGGAAGTTACCAGTGACAGGAGAGGGTGACGTGGTGCTGCAAAGTCCGTATGGAGAGGTGAAACTGGAGAATGTGCTCTTGGTTGAGGATTTGAAGGTGAATTTGATGAGTCAGTCACAGCTTGATGACTTGGGGTGCAAGATATTTTATGACAGAGGCGAGGTTACAGTGTTTGGTCTTGAGTGGGAGAAGTATGCGGATGGTTATTTCAGTGACGGGTTCTATGAGATGAACGTGATAGCGATGGACGATAAGGATGAGATTTATGCGGATCCTGAGTATACTGAGATGGGAGAATTGGAGAAGTTATCGAATGAGGATGATGAGAGTGAGGACTCGAAGGATACGGCAGCAAGTGTTGAGGCAGCAGTGAAGCAGGAAGAGGAGATAGTCACCATGGAGGCAGCAACACTGAATGGTGGAGATGGAGATGGTGTCAACACTTTTGCAGCAGCGATCATGGTTAAAGATGAAGCAGTAAATGCGAAGTGTGTGGGAGTTGAAGCTGTGAAAGGGGGCATCATGGTGAAGGGATCAAAGGTGAATGCAACTGCAAAGGGGCGTGTGCTTACGAAAGAGGAACACGTTGAGGGGTACGAGACCCGAGAGGTGTTGGGTGCTAAGATTCCGAGGAGAAGCGAGAGGCTTAAGAAGATGCCTCATGGTTTGGATATCAAGGCGCTCAACTTCAAGACACGTAAGCAGAGGTTCAAGGTGCAGGAGCTGCAGGGGAGCGTGAAGCCGACTTAGACCCTGTGAATGCTACAAGGAGCAGGAAAGCAGTGCGAGTGGTGTTCGTGGTTGACGAACCACAGGGGAGATTGTTAGGGTTGGTTCGCCCAACCACGGAACCTACGGCGAAAGTCTCTACGACGGCGGAATGACGGCGAAATGGAAGCGCGTGGATGATTCTAGGTGAAACGGTGGAAATCAGCCTACGGCGTGAGAAGCGGGAGAGAAATCGAGAAGGAACCAAAGAAATGGAGGAAGAGAGAAGGAGAAGCATCGAGGATGAGATCGACGGGGGAAATTGTGGTCTGAGACCAAGGCGCGTTCGAGAAGGTTCCAGATTCGGTCTTGAGGAGTGTTCACCGAATTCGGTTCGGTTCCGTG